GCAAACAGTGGCGCTCATGCATCCACTCGTTATTCTCCTAACACCACTCTATATGAATTCCCCACCTTCCGCTTGAATTTGCTTCGACATTCCAATCTACATTTTGCTCTTTTATCCAAATAGGCAACCAAAAGACAGCAACCAAAACCGGCGCACGAAAGTGCATGGTTAATGGTTATAAAACCCGAAAAACTGTAACTCTTTACGCACAGCCCTGTGCAACACAGACGAATACATAGCGACTGTAATTCATGTTAGGGAAATACTGGAATCTGCAACCTTCATTCCTCTATGCATTTTTGGATGCGGGTGCAATGAAATTTACGGTTTAGTATTTCTTTGGTCCAATACAGGAAAAAATTTCACAATGTTATCAGTGAGAACGCAATATTGGTAAAGAATGTTTTGTTGATTATTACATTACTGTATGCCCAAACAGTTCGTTGTGGAAATTTCATGGTTTAATAATTGTAAGTTAACCAAACAGTGCCTTTCTTTCCCTATTCAAAAAATAAACTAGTCGGTTTAAGGCTTTTGGTTGTACTACTATTAGAAATAAATCAAAAAGTGATTGTGAAAAGATCAGTGCTTTCGACTTTCGTAGCTGAGCTGGTAGAGCGTGCACTGTGCAAATGCGCAGTCAGCGTCCATGTGTTGGTTCAAATCCCAGCTGTGGAATGTTTCACATAAGACTTCGATCTACCAAACAACAATTTGATATAAAAATACATCAGTAAACGGTACTGTCTAACAAATAGCGGGAAGATATTAACCATATGCAGGAACTCTTATATTTTAACTTGGCTTAAATTCAGATTTATCTACCGATTACGCGACAGTCGGAACATAAAATACACATTCCAGTTGCAGCCGTCTGATTGGTTGCTTCCCTCTTCCTGAAAACTGTATCATTTTGTATTCGTTGAAACGAAATAATATAAAAAATATAAAGATTGTACCAAGTTTTGGGATTAGACGAAGTCCTAGAAGTGAAATTCAAACAAAATTACTGTCTATTTGTTTGTAGTGGGGTCTAACACATTTCTGTTATTTTCCGGGCTACATTTAGGCAGCATTCTCTTAAATGAGGATGGTTTGAATTGGCGGAGATATTTGACCAGAATTGTAGCAATTTCATCCGCGTAACGTTTCAGTAGCACATACAGTTATGTGAGAGCGACAAATACTTAGTCTTACCGACGCCAACCAACATTGGTCTATACTGAGAAATACTCACCCACTCTGTTAGGATGTGAGTTGAAGATTCGTATTCTATGCAAAGTTGAAACAGCTATTCATCGACCAAAGTGCAATTTGAATCCCGTCCGAATTTGATACATAACCTGGGAATTGAAAACGATACTGTAGAGCGATCAGATAACAACTGACTTGCATGCTGCAGCACTTGCGAGGCAAATATCAATCGACTTACAGACAGGCACACACACATAAACATATAAAGAGGACACTGACTTGGTTAGGAAGAAAGTGAAATATTGACTGCCGTGTTCGGTTACCGGGTTCAGAGAGAAGATGCACAAATAAGGCTTGATCCTTTAAAAATCTTGCTGCCATTCAGTGTTCAGATTTGATTCTTGAAATATGTCCAGAATGTCACACTTGCTATTGTTTATGTTTTAGTAAGACTATAGAAACAACATCTTCTGTCCAAATAATTATACTATTCACTAGACATTTATTTGGGTGTACAGACAGCGGAAGGCAAGGGTGGAGGAACTCCCTCTGGAATGTCAGCTAATTTCTGGACTACATTCCCTTTTGTTGAAATTGTGAATAGTTGAGTCGGCTCGGTGAGACTCGAATCCACAAATGGACGCCGTCTACGCTTTTGTAAAGTGTGCGCACTTCTACCAGTTGTGTTTCGAGGCCGCATCAATTGCACTCACCTCTTCCCGTTCTCTGCAACAAGATTCTTACATGCGTTTCGGCGGATAGGTATGTACATCACTTTACTTCAGCAAACGGCTCAAAACAAAGAACATTTGCCTGAACTGAATCTCTCCGATGATAGCAATCTTCAATAACTCGATCCTTTCCTCAGTTCCGTTGTTCAATTATCAATCTGACTGTCACATCTGCTATGACGGTCGCCGACTGTCTGTTGCTGCTGTCCCCAAGAATCGTTAATGTTTGTTTTTCTCATCTCATCTATCTGGTGTTTGTCTGTAGGCAAATCTAGATTGTGGTTCGCATGTAGGGAATTCGTTTGGCAATATCTCAACAAAACAAACAAAATGCAATCGAGTCAATTTGGATCGACCACGTTTTAGTCTTTGAGTGACCTACCACCCTTCAGATGCACCAGTTACATTTAGTTAATCAATGTTGCATGTGGCACCTGCTTAGTTGTCCATCACCTCATGTGATATGTATATTAGTGTGTGTTTCAATGTTGTCCCAGTCGTGCCCATGTTGATTTGTGAGTAGTTAGCGTGTTGTATAAGGCGCACCTCATCTCCCGTAATCGCATACATACATCCACCCCCGTATGTACTCATTCCCTTCGCGTATTTGCATCCTCCACTCACCGGTTGGAACGATGCTAGGATGGAACTATGCAAATTGTTTGCCGTATTTCCGTCGCGCACAAACTCACGAACTTGGCCCGGACGACTATCGAGGTGGGGATGGACCGTTGTTTGTCTCACAGGGCAAAACCAATCATCCATTACACCAGGCATGGTTAGAGGCCGGTCAACAGGCTGGATATCCGTTTACCAGCGATATTAATGGCTATCAACAGGTCAGTTCTCTTATGTTTAAGTGAATTATTCCAACATGATATTGTTAGCAATACAGTATACATGTTACTGTTATTTCTTGTTTGGAAATTACAGAAACCGAGGTGTATCCTGGATTCAGCCCAATCACTAGATACAGGGATCAAGTTGACTGTTTCAAAAACGTGCAACTACGTGCAACTACAAACATTTAGGTTTTCGTTTGAATAAAATAAGTGATACAATATGAACAGAATTGATTTTGGTCATTAATTTCGCGTACTCCTAGTCAGCTGTCAACGCACATTAAATAGATCAAACTTTATCACAAGAATATCATACATGGACATTTACATAAGTACATGGGTTCAAGCAGAAAGCACTGGGTTGTTGAGTCATTACCAAAGTCATTTCAATATGGATGAAAGAGGAGGAGGGAAATGTTAGCATAGAAACAGTTACGTAATGGAAAACAATTAGCGGTGGTGGAAAGAGACTTGAACATGGTTACGTAATACGAAAATGATACAACCAGAAATGAATTCGAACAGACGTAGAAATTGGTCAATGAATTAGGTCAAAGAGAGTTACTTAATAAGAAAATGAGAAGGGCGAGGTGTCAACGATGATGTAAGAGAGATGATGGGAAGCAAAGGGGAGGGGAGTTACCATGGTAATAACAACTGCATCACAAAGGCCTTTTGCACGCATAGGTCAGGCTTTAAACGGTTAATGACAACCGCTTCAGCAAACCTAAGCATCCTTGGTCTTCGAACATTGAGCACAACGCGGAAAGCTTTGCGTTTGTCAATTCAGTGACCGGTATCCCTGACATGTCGTGTCACTGCGCTTGCTGGAAGTTTTCTTCCTCGAAATGATACGTTATTGGGAGCATGCTCACTCATTCCGATCGATAGCCGGTGTTCAGTTCTTCCGATGTACTGCAAACCGCAAGTACATTGAAAAAGATAAATGCAATTGGAGGTGTCTGAATCATTGGATCTGTCTATGCTTGACCGCATTATTGGGTTCAATGTTCTGTGAATCATGATCAGCTTCGCGGTGGACTCAACTGTAGTACGAAGCCGACGACCAACCCGTGCAATTGCATCGTCTCCTTTAAATGGTATACCAATGGAAACTGGTTTCTTTTCGACTGTAGTGTGCGTTGGCCTGGGAATGGGAGGTGTGCAATATTTCTCTATAAAAGGCAGGGGATAATCGTTAAAGGACAAGGCAATCGTCAAATCTCTAAGTTCACTTTCTATCACTTCCGGACTGCACTGGTGATGAACACTGTGGAACAAGGTGTGTGCCCAAATTGAAAACCCAGTGACAATGCTTCCAATTGTATTCGGCTGAGGTTTAATGACGACTTATTATGCACATACCTTTCGGGATCACTTGAGAATCCGTTCGACCGCGATTCATTGATTGTTGATCTTAATAGCACCTTTGGCAATTCTTTCTGGCTCCGGTGCTTTGTGATACAGAATCGAAAGATAAACAGCTTTGAAACTGATGCACGGTTTGAAAATTTGGCTGACCAGTTGAAAGAGCCTAAGCCTGTTGCACCAGAAGCGGAAGGATGGTTCAGAGCTAGGTTAGTGGATCTTGCTCATCAGCTAATTATCATCCTTTTCTCTGTTACCTCAGTATCGTCCTTCCTCTTTAGATCCACTTGGAATCAGTCACCATCAATGAGAATAGTCTCCATTTTGCTCACGTATTCATCCTTTTTAATAATGACTACTCCAGATCCCTTGTCCGGTGGGCAGATCACAACATTATTTCACAATCCTTTAAGGGCTTTCATATGGTCTTGTGTTAGGATGGAGTTATGACAGGACTTTGCTACTCTTAGCTGATGAGCAAGATCCACTAACCTAGCTCTGAACCATCCTTCCGCTTCTGGTGCAACAGGCTTAAGCTTTGTCAACTGGTCAGCCAAATTTTCAAACCGTGCATCAGTTTCAAAGCTGTTTATCTTTCGATTCGGTATTCCAAAGCTCTGGAGTCAGAAAGCAACAGCTCTAAGCGTCTGAGGGATCTAGTCAAATTGACACGAGACATGTATAACGTGAACTCTGACT